GCAAACGACTCGATGGCACATTAACAACAACAACAATTTTTTTCTAATTGGTTCACTCCTTTTTCTTACTGATTTGTAAGAGTTTTTCCATATATTCTAAGGACTGATTTAGTGACCAAGGTATTGGGAGTAGGGGTGTCGGAGATAATGAGATTGGCACAGGCTAGAGCAGGGTTTAGGACTGCTGTACATAGGGTCGCTATGAGTAGCAAATGACAGCAATAACTTTTAGTCTGGTATACACGATCCAAATCTTTTTCTTAGTTTGTTGGCTTTCTTTTCGTTTTGTTCATAGTGCATTTCATCACCAGGAATGTATTTTCTACAATGAACACTAATATTTTGATTTTTTAAAAAAGTTAAGATTTCTTTTACCAACTCTAGAAAACTGAGGGTGTCTGGCTTAGTGGGTAGGGAGTGCACTGCTAACCCAAAGGCATCACTCTGGCAGTTTGAGTATATCAGGGGCTCCAAGGCAGAAAGGTAGGCAATCTCTTCCTGTCTAATTTTAGTGTCTGAAAACTCACTGAAGAGTCACATATGAGCTGGTTCCAAATTGACAGCAATCAGAGAGAGAGAACAAAACTAAATAGTATTACTCATCTCTGGTGAGGTTATGTGCTATGTAAATGTGAGGATATGGGAAAACAGAAGATCTACAACAAAGCAACCTGAATGTAGCTCCTCCTGATCCAAAATGGAGCAGAAATAATAATCTGTGGGCAGTAACAGTACTGACAATTTCATCTCACTCACCTACAGATTTATCTGCCATGCCTACATCTCTAGACGTCCAGCGACAAAATCCACAGGCCAGATAATAGGCTTTCTTCATTGTTGTCTTGGCGGGGTCATCTGGGAGCTGTGTGGAAATGCTTGTTGCTCGAGTGGAGAGGGTGTGCATGCACCCAGGACAGTCAAAACAGTTGGCACATCTGTAATATGTCAAATAAAACCATTCATTCAACACATATTTACCAGACACAGTTTTACATGGTGGAGCACTCGTGGTGCAGTGGATGAAGTGTTGGGCTGCTAACCAAGAGGGTGGCAGTTCAAATCTACCAGGTGCTCTACAGGATAAAGATGAGGCAGTCTGTTTTCATAAAGATTTACAACTTTGCAAAGCCTATGAGACAAGTTCAACTGTGCTTGGCAAGTTCGCTAGGAGTTGGAATCAACTTGGTGGCCGGGGTTTTGATTCTGCACGTTAGAATTCAAGGAATATTAAACAATGACAGAGAACTGGCTGTCAAACAAAAATGTAATTTCAGAAAGTAAACCCAAGGGCTTCTTACCAACTTTATGTCAACAATTATTTAATTTTTTAATTAATTATTTAAATCTCAGAAAGTATTCAATGTTTATTACTTTTAAAAATGCCATCATCACCAGAACTCTAGAATAATGAAAGCCTGACCCAATCTTATTGGGCAGAGGAAATCAGGGTAAACAGTCTGGATTTTACTATTCTGGGCTTATTTTAGGGGGTTCTGGTGGTGCTGTCTGTAGTGAGATGTGCTGCTACTCCAAAGGCTGTGCATCTGCTGTGGTTCGAATCCACTAGCAGCTCCAAAGGAGAAAGATGGGCGGTTTCTTCCCCTAATAGTCATAGCTTGAAAAACCCAGTGGAGGGTTACTGTGAGGCAGAACTTCTTTTTATATCTACCTATCTATAACTTATTTTATGCTTATGTAGAACAAGGATTTCGGAAGAACTTGAGAGACAGTCGACCAAGCACATGATAGAAAACTGAGAGGCAACAATAAAATAAGCTGTGAAACTGGGTTTGGAAAATAACTGCCCGTTTGCTGTGCCAGAGAACTGAAAGTGATACCAGACAATGCTTTTTCAAACAGGAATGGGTGAGTGGTGATACATTTTAGGGCTTTCTGTTCTTTCCTCAGACACTGCTCTCCTTAGTGCTCAGTCAACACTTGACCTTCAGCAATGCTTCCTCTGTGTCCCACTGTTTTTAACTCTCCCATAAAAATGTCACCTCTAGTCCTGTCTTTGCTTTAAAGTTTTGCCCCATAATTCTAATAATCTGTATTTTGTCATCTGGATGGTCTCATTTACTAAATGACAATAATGGTACACCCCAAATAGGAATACTCTCTGAGAAGTAAATGATAAAATTAATGTGTGGAAGACTGCATGACTCATCAGGACATATTTCTTGTAGGAAAGGCGTAGCTCACATCCATAGACAGGCAGTATGACTGATAGCAAAAGGACTTTCACAGCAAGCTCAAAGCCAAACATCCTGCAGCAGCTGTGAGCACATCTAATACAGATATCTTGGTTTCTAATGCCCTTCTCTGGAGAAACGTCTCACTCTAGGATTGAAGCAGTAGATATACAAAGTTATCCTAGAACATACTGCAGCATCAGACTGTAAGGAATTGCACAAACACACCAAAACTTCCACACTTAGAATGATCGAGCATGTCACAGGGAAACAGGAGGTGACTAAGACTGTTTACGACCAAAGTGAACAATTTGAGAAAAAACCAAAATCAGTAACAAAAAAACCCCCAATACTGGATTAGAGCTCATTCTGATGGAAATTAATGAGTCAGTTTAAAATAAATGAATAAGAGTATAGATAAATATTTAATGCAAAAGAATTGCAAATAATTTATACAGGTGTTGGTCCTCAAGCAGTTGGTATAAAGCCCTGCTTCTTTAAGTGTGAGGAAGATAACTACAAAGACTGCAGTACAGGAAGAAAGGAAAACACACTAACTTTATAGGAGAGAAACCTGACAAACACAAGTTCAAGCCAGGCAATCAACAGTGATGTCATATTGATCATGTACAGATAAACCTTCTAAGATGTGAAGAGAAATGGCAACTTACCGTGTCTTCTTATGAGAGAAAAAAAAGGCAAACCCTGTTTAAATATTCCAGATCTACAAAATATCTGACCAGTTATCCTCAAAACTGTTAAGATGACCAAAACCAAGGAAAGTCTGAGAAACTACCTTGGCCCACAAGTGTTCAACAAGACATAGCTACTAAGTGAGGTGTATGGTCCTCGGCAGGATCTTCCAACAGAAAAAAGACCATTAGGAAAAACTAAGGAAATGTGGATAAAACATAGTTTAGTTAATAATAACAACGCAGTAATATTGGCTTATTAATTGTGACAAGCATGCTAACAACAAGAGAAAAGAGGTGAGGTACACAGAAACTCTTGATGCCATCTTTACAATTAATTCTGAAAGCAAAAATTGTTCTAAAATTTTAAAAATTATTTTAGCAGAATCAAAGGACATTATATATTTGGCAAAAAGTATGAAAACTGTTGGTTAAAAGAGAATTAATTCCATAGATTTTCTTACAAGGTATTTTAAAAAAGGGGTGGGGAAGAAAGATAAAAAGTGGATCCTAGTATTCTCTTGGTAACAGCAGCCAGGAAATCAGGAGATGAATTGCATTGGGAAAGTCAGCTGTGAGGGACCTCTCAAGAGTACTGAAGTGCAATGTAAGGCTGGAGATTAAGGTGCGCCTGACCCAGGCTATAGTCTTTGCAATTACGTGCTATGCACTGGAGAGTTGGACAGTGAATAGGGATGAGAGAGAATTGATGCCTTTGAGCTGTGGTGCTGGAGAAGAGAGTTGAATATACCATGGACTGCTAGGAGAACAAACAGGTTTGTCCTGGAGAGGGTCAAGCCAGAATGTTCTCTGAAGTCAAGGATTCTGAAGCTTCGTCTGATATACTTTGGGCAGGTTGCAAGGAGGAACTGATCCTTGGAGAGGGACATCATGTTTGGGAGAGTGGAGGAGTGGTAAAGGAGAGGAAGACCCTCGATGAGATGGATCGATTCTGTGAGTGGAGTGGTGGGAATGAATGTGTTTGAGACAGCGAGGTTGGTACAGGATAGAATGGTGTTTAGGGCTCTTGTACATAGGGTCCCCGTTGAGTCGCAAACGACTTGATGGCACATAACAATAACAACAACAGCCTTACCTATTCTTTTTCAGTTTGGCTTCAGCCGATGGCATATTTTCTAAGCAACTGGGACAATAATGGGAATCCACCTAGGAGAAAAGAAGAAATTAAAAAAAAAAAAAACACACCACACTAAGAGGAAGACAAATTCAATTTGGTATGCTTGCATATCTAGACCAAGTAATAAATTTTATACATATATATGTTGTTGTACGTACCACTGGGTTGAACCAGCTGACCCTCTGGAAGTAAATGGCACAGGAGATCGCCTGTCTTTCTCCCAGGGAGCAGCTGGTGGACTAGACCACAGGCCTTTTGGTAGGCAGCGCAGAGACTTACCATCAAGCCACTAGAACTCCTATACACTCACACTAAATTTTACATACACATGCATCAATAACTAAAAACAACTACAAGCTCAAAACTCATTGCCACTGAGTCAGAACTGACTCATAATTGACCTGCCATTGGGGTTTCAGAGACTATAAACTGCCTGTGACGCTGCTGGTGGACCTGAACCACCAGAGAGACTTGGTCTTTTAGCAGAAACACAATTTCCCACAAACTACACCACCACAAGAACAAGTGAGAAATCACTAGAGGAAACTGGAATGTTCTCACTCTTCTTTTAATCCTTTGTTATATATTTATAAAATTTTTATCAAGGTATGAGCTAAAATTTACAGAAGAGATTCCACTCAAGTACTGATATATACTCTGGTTTTGACATTAATTATAACCTGTTGCATCATCATTCTTCCCACTCTGTGATTCCTGTCTCAGTCATCCTTCCATCATCTTTCCCTCTACTTTGTGACAAGTGTTGCCCTTGTGATCCTGGTTGGTGAGTGTTTTAAGCACTCAGTATCTCACAAGTGTTACTGTTCGCCTTATAAGTTTGACTACTGTTTGGCTGCCAAGTTGTGCCACAAAGGTGAGTTCAGTTCCAGGCTCAAAGGGCCAGGTTCAGGGGACTATCTGCCTCCCTCAGGTAGGTAAGGTTGGTTGTTATTTTGATTTTTCTCCTAAATTTCATTTCCCACTCTATTCAGGACACTCTACTGTGTTCCTTTTCAGAGGAACTAGCTGTGGTAGCCAGGAACCATCTAGTTCTAGTCTCAAAGTCGCAGAAGATGAAGATCGTGAGGCCCATTAAGGTTATGGACTAATTGTTTCCATGCTTCTCTGATTTTCTTCACTCTTTGTTGCTCCAGTCACGGGGGAGAGCAGTGGTTGCATTTTAGATGACCACCTGCAAGTTTTTATGTCCCCAGGAGCTTCTTACCAATACGGAATGTGAACTCTGTCCCTGCAGACAATGTCATGTCAGTTGTCTTTGATGTTTTCTGAGAGTATTCAATCTATATGCAGAATAGATCATTCGGGAGGCTGGGCTTTATGAGGAGTGTGGCATCAGGATTGGAGGAAGACTCATCAAAGGTTAGCCTGCCTTGTGCAAATGACACAAACTTGCTTGCTGAAACTGAAGAGGACCTGAAGCACTTGCTATAGAAGGTGAA